GGGATAGAGAGGGGGAGGGGGAGAGAAGTGGGGGGGGCAGGATAGTTGGACACTGAGTAAGTAGCCCAATGGTAGAGAGCTTGCCTGGTGTGGCAGTTAATCTTCGCTCCAAGGCATCCATGTAAGGGTGTTTGCAGAGAGGTTTAACTGGGGGATGAACCCTACTTTAAATGTGGGTGGCACCACTCCATCACATCCCATGGGCTGGGGTCCCAGGGTGAATACTAAGAAACCTAGTTTAGGTGAAGGGCCATACATGTCTAATCCTAGCACTTGAGGGGCAGAGGAAGAGGACCTCTGTGAGTTTGGTCTGGTCTACAGAGCAGCCACAGCTACATAGTGAGACCCTGTTTCAAAAAGAGGAGGAGCAGGAGCCGGAGGAGGAGAAAGAAAAAAATGGGAGCAAAGCATTTGTCTTTCTGCTCTCTGACATTAGGTACAGTGTATCTGGCTGCCTCATTCCTGCTGCCATGTCTTCTCTGTCATGATGGACTACACACTTAGCAGGTGAGAAAGTTTCCTGGACAAACGAAGACATGTGTTTGGATCCCAGTGACCATGCCAAAACAAAGTTTGCCTTCCTTAAATTGTTTTGTTCAGGCATTTTATCATAGCAACGAGAAAAGTAACCAAAAACAGCTAGTGTAGACAAGACCCTGGGTTTCAGCCCCAACACAGTACAAAAGGTCAGAGTAAAGTGCTGTGTGTGGTAGCTCAGTGAGGAGTGCTTACCGAGCACTCGGGAATCCTGGAAGATTCCCTTGCACTAAAAAAACTGGCCCTAGGTTTAATCCCCACACCAAATCAATTAAATAAATAAATAAATAAATAAATAAATAAATAAACAAACCAGAGTAGCAGGTTCCAGGCTGATGAGAAAGAACACTAGGCACAGACCTGTCCAGGGATGGGAGCCTGGAAATTGAGACTCCTAGATCCTGAGCAACTTGCCTAACAGCACTGCTGGGGATGACTGTGTCAGAACACTGAGGGATAATCGGATACACTTTAACAGGCATGTGGGGCGTGGCCTCAGCTGACACTCATAGGAAGAAAACAACTTAGTTTTTTTCTTTTTAACTGTCAGGATTTTGTGATCTATAATATACTCCTTAACTCTGTCACTGATTGATAAGGTCTTTGTTTAGTTTTGTTTATTTTTAGACAGTCTCAATGTGTAGCCCAAGTTGGCCTGGAACTCACCATCCTCCTGCCTCAGCCTCCAAGTACTGGGATAACAGTATGAGTCACCATGCTGACTGCCTTCTTTTTAGTACATAAAACAGCATGTCAGCAAGTTCTTGTGGAGTAAAACTGGTGTTCTGAAAAGCTCATCATTTTTCTCCAGGATATTGTGTGTCTCTGCTACAATAGAATAGAGGAGAACACCCACTCCAAGGTGTGACTAAGCTCTGCTGAGCAAGGGCAGTTAAAGCCAAGCATGAATTTTCTCCTGGCAACCTTTCTTCCACAGCAGCCCTAGAGGTGTCATTAACAAGGCCCAGGAAGCTTCCACACCCGTCCTGGATCTCTCATCCCTCCCTAACGTCAGAGGCAAACACCACTGCCATCAACCACATGGTCCAAGATCTATGAGGGAGGGAAGGGGATGGTGTGGAGCCTCTAGAAATCCTCTACCTCCAGCACAGGTCAGCATGAGTCCTGTGTTGTTAACTAACAAGGAGAGTCCTAGGCTGCCATTCCACCTCAGAACTCTGTAAATGTATTCAAGTCGCTTGCGTGCTGTTACTTATTGTATTTATGGAGTCTTGGTTTTCCAAGTAAATTATTCTCCCCTGACTCTGATATATTAGTTTGAAATGACAAGTATTACAACATTCAACATAAAATGAGCACCAAGTTAAAGAGATGTGAATCTTCAGATGTGGGGATAGAAATGTCCAGAAGCACATTCGAAGTTTGTGCATTTAAAACATCAAGTAATTTAGAGGGTTCGTACAATTTAGTGAGGAGTGGAATCATGTTCCTTAAAACAGTCTGTAACAGGAAGGCTGCTCATAGTGTAAAAGCCCCCAGGGAGGAGACAGTCTTGTGTGTCTATACCACAAATAGTGCTTATTTCTAGTTAGAGACTTTGCAGCTGTTCATCTAACCTGGGGTAACTCAGGTGACCTGGCCAGTCACTCTGAAAGGGTCTAGCTCAGTTCTCAGGATAGCCTCTGGCCCAGAATTCCCAAAGGGTCTGCTCTTTTGTTCTGCCACCATTTGTAGCCCTGAGAAACATGCGGATGTCAGATTCACTGCTGGGCAGTATAGAAAGGACATACTAGGGGACAGGTGGCCAGCCTGGGGTATTGAGTATTCCCAGAAGCATGCTGGAAAGGTATCTAAAAAGTTAACCAATCCACAACCAAAAGAGGATATCCACATGGGCCAGGATTCAGAGTGACCAGATGCTAAAGGGCCATAAGAAAGGTAGCCCAAAGCTTTTTGGTACTGGGCTTAAGAACAGGACATTCATTCTTCAACTCAACATGTGTGAAACTAGCCCACATTGGCCCAGCTGCCCTGAGGGACAAAGCATCTGTGGCCCTTCGAAACAGCCAGACCCACTGGCCAGTCTTCGGGAGGCCAGGGTCTCCATGATCCCTGATGTGTTCAGGTCCCCCATGGCTCCCTCATACAAGACTGTCTCAAAATAAACAATTTCCTGAGCAAATAACGGTACTAGACACGGTGTGCAGGCTGCATGATGAGCAGGGTGTACAGACTGGTGGTGGAGGGCTCTGAGTAATGGCTTTGCTTCTACTTGCCCTAAGTACCACCCAGCCCAGGTCTCTGGCAGCCCTGAGCAAAGACCTAAAGGACTGGGACTCATTCTGAACCAACAGCCATATATTCCGATGTGGCCAGGCCATATCCCTGTCTATAGCCCCACAGACACTCCCCAATATCCCCCTTTGAAGTACAAGGTAGTTCTAGGCTTAGAAACACTCAGCCTGAGGCCACAGAAGCAAGAAGCCTGTTTTGATAAGCAGAGCTTCCCAGAGGCCAGAAGCACAGGGGGGAAATCCAGGAAACCAAAAAAGCAGCCTAAGAACCAGGAGACTGTGAGAGGGGAGACAGACCCAAGGTGCAACCCTGCCAGTAAGAGCAGAGGGTCCCCACTACTCCACCCAAAATGGAAATCTTCCTTACTCTAGTTCTTCCTTCTCATTCCTTCAATGTCTCTATTAGCTACTACAATCTAGATAGTGCTTGCCCACTGTGGCTTTGTCCTGAAATTAGTCATTTGGTACTCCCTCAGGTTATAAGATGTCCCAGGACCTCAAGACTTCCTCATACCCACAGTTTTGGTCATGGTGAAGGATCCAGACCTATCCCTGCAGCTTTGTACAGTGGTAGGGCCCTGAGAACAGTGGAGTTGCTCAAAAGATGCTAGGTATAGCTGTAATTCCATCAGTTCTATGAATTATACCTGCTTTGTTTGCAAGAGTCTTGGGTAACCCAAGGGCCTCAGACTAACTATGTACCTGAGGATGGCTTTGAACTCCTAATCCTCCAGTTTCTGAGTGCTTGGATTACAGATGTGCAGCATCATGTCCAGTTTATGTGACGAGATCAAACTCAGGGTCTCGTGCATGCTAAGCAAGCACTCTAACAATGAAATTACAGCCCTAGCCTGTTAACTTTTTAAATTCTTATTATTTGTAGTCATGCATACATGTGTAAGTCTGTGTGTGTGAGTACATACTTGAGTCCAGATGCCCACGGAAGCCGGAAGCTGGAGCTCCAGGGCACTGTGAGCTGTCCAAGCCCCCATCCCCATAGCTTGTTTCCTTGTAATGTAACAGACAGGTTCTCTAGCACCAACGTGAAAGAGAGCTTCTAAATCTTTTTTCACAAGGCCTTTTGGGAAACTCACTAAAGACAAATTTCTATCTAGGAACTCCAGAAGAAACCAGATTCCTGTTAACAAACAGAACCTGAATGAAATCTTTTAGCAATGTTTCCTTAGAGGCCACAGCAGCAGGGATTGGTTCAGTGCTCAGGGTCCCCAGTTCCATTCCCAGTGCAGAACTGTTCCATTCCCAGCTCAGCAGAAAGTCTCAGCATTTAACCCTTGAGAAGTGAGCATCTTGTCTCCTTTTTTCTTGCAGGGGACAAGGACTCACCCCTAAAATAATGGAAACTAAAGAAGATGGTATGGGAAAGGAAGGGGAAGAGGAAGACAAACCCGGCAACCCCAAGGAATCCCAGCAGTACTCGGTACATCTCAATCAGGACTCCTCCTGTTTATCTGGCAGGCAAATTAGTTTAAAAAAAAAAAAAAGTAACAAAAATTGTTACATTGGAAAAAAAATTCCCTTAAAATGAGGTAAAAGAGTGCCACCTTGTGGTGAGTCTCTTTCACCATGTCTAGAGATACCCGTTTCCTGCCATGTTCTGTATTTTCCTTCTAATAAGCTCGCATGTATGAACATCTGAGGCCACCAGCACATGCCATCCAGAAGGTGCATGTGGCATCTAAAGAGGCTAGCCTCCCTGAGGCAACTCTGGCTATGCCAGGAGACTCCAGAACCCTGCCACCCCAACCAAAGAAACTTGGTGAAGCCAGAGCAGTGTCTTAACTTTAAGGTCCAGGGTGAGGGGTCTCAGAGAGGCTGACCCCCAACACACACACACCCCCCAGAAGAGGCAGGTGACAAGCCCTTCAGGAGAAGCTTCATTCCTAGTATGTCACAACGCTCAGTGGTACAGGCCTGGTCTTCACTGCCAACCCTGACCACTTATCTGGAGTGATGGTGGCAGATCCTAATAGGCAACTAAGACTATTGCCAAGCCTTTAGCTGTTAATGCTTCTGTGGCTTCTGTACCTAGAACAGGCCAGACTTGATGCTGCTGGTACACTAGTGAAACCTGAGGACCTAACTGCCTTGAAGATACCCCACACACATTCAACTAAGCTGAAAAGCTGGACAAAACACAGAACAAAACAAGTTGACTGTGAGTTTTTTGCTTTTTTTTTTTTTTTTTGGCAAAACATTATACTGTTTATTTACAGGTGTGCCTTTTATCCTCCTTGACAAAAGTCATTTGGACCCTTCACTTTCATGCTGAGAATTAACATGTAACATAGTCATTAAACATAACAGCATCATTTTGGGGTCAGTAGTATTGTGTCCTTGTTGCTTCCCCAAGGTCTCGGCTTTATGAGTTAAAGTCTTGATGTCTCCCCAGGTTACTCGCTTGCTCTTCTTCTTGGAACGTCTCCTCTTAATGGATTTGTTGTCTACCTTCAGGTGCTTCCGTTGCCCAGTGGTCTCCAAGGTGCTCTCCGGGTTGGATGAATCAGAATGGGAGCCATCTGGGATATCATTCACTTTATGGAGGCTACCAGGCATTGGTGAAGCACCAGAAGGTCCTGGAGGCAGTTGGTAAGGATTATTCGGAGAGGGTTGGAGTCCTAGGGTAGGATATGATACTTCAGGAGTAGGATATGGTGCTGGTGGTTCCCAGGTTCCTGGTGGCACTGTGACCCATGCAACAGGTGGTCCTCCTGACACTGGAAGAGGAGGTGTGGGAGATGGCCCTGGAAATAGATATGGCACATTAGGATGCTGCCCTCCCATTCCTGGTGCCCAAGGTCCAGAAGACATAGATCCCTGTGTACCTGAAGGACCAGCTGGATCTATAGGTGCGCTATCTGTCCTAGGTAGCTCTGGAAAGGGCATATTTGTTGTAACATATGGCCTTGTGGGGCCAGGGACTCGTACAGCAGGGCCTGGATAAGGACCACTACGTTGGGGACGTGATGGTCCAGAAGGAAGAAAGGATCCTGGAGATCCTGGTAGTAGTCTAGCTGGAGGGATGAAGGGATACATTCTTCTTGGTGCTGGTCCGAAAGGCACAGTGGAGGGTGCTGCACTTAGTGGGCGTCCAGATAACATAGCAGGTGGAATACTTGAGGGCTGGAGCCTGGCCAGTCAGAAGAATATTGGCCAGCTTTTGGATTGCTCACAGCAGAGGTTCTAGCAGGGACTGTTCAGTGTTCAGGTAGCGCATCTGGCAGTGAAAATTCATGTGGTATTTTTCCAGCAGGATCTAAGCCTAAGACACAACATACAGCAGTGATGAGGCCGATGAGACAGGCACTGGAGAACCAGTCTGAGCAAGTTGATTGTTTAAATCTGCTTCATAAAGGAAAATTTGCCCTAAATAAAACAAAACAAAACAACTGGTTGATTATATCACATTCTGAACCATTAGTGGTCTGGCCACTTTACCAATATGAGGAAAAGACTTAAGTAGTGGAGATTGGATGGTTGGGGATAGAGAAGAGAGGGGCTAGCACATAGGGCACAGGTTGAGGATAAAGACGAGGGGCTAGCACATACAGCACATAGGGCACAGGAGCAAGGACAGCACCTACAGAACAGCAGTGAGGAAAGAGCTGGTTATAGAAATGTCTTCACTGCTGATACTGGAAAATAATCTTATAAACTGATTTTAAAAGAAGGGATAGTTTTGTAGTAACTTAGTAAAATTCTAGTAGAGTAGAATTCTCCCAAATTAAGAAAGAACATTAAAACCAAACAAACAAACCAAAGTCACCTTCTTTCTTAATAGAGAAAAGGTAGATTCTTTCCACTTGAGATTAGGAAGGACAAGGCTGTGGCACCCACATCACCACTCCTACTCAGCACCACTGAGGAAGTCCTAGCCAAAGAATACAAGAAAGGAAAATAAAATGTATATAGATCAACAAAGGAAACACAAAAAAGTCTTTATTCTGATTATCCCATTGTCTATGTGGAAAATTCCAACAAATGAATTCCAACAAAAATATCTCCAGAAAGATATAAGTGATTGCAGCCAGGCTGCAGGACAAAGTCACCACATAAAAGTTGATTTCTTTCCTGTGTACCAACACTATAACTGTGCATAAGCATCAAAAGGATCAAGATCAGAATTCCAGAATCCTCAAAACAGCACCATCAGATGAACAACACTAATGTCAAATAAGTTCATATAGTGACAAAAGGCAAAACAGCACTATACTCGAAATAAATAAATAAATAAATAAATAAATAAATAAATAAAACAATGGAGTAGAGAAGCCAGTCTAGAAATAGGCATACACAAGTTATCAACAGATCTCGGACAAAGGAGCCAAGACATAACAATGGTGCAAAGAAAGTCTATTCCACCAGAGTTGCTGTAACCCCATGTCCACAGACCAAAAACATGTAACTTAGACACCTCCCAAACATAGCTCAAATGGATTATAGACCTAAAGGCAAGGCCATAATAAACACATAACATTTCTTTAAAAACAAACAAACAAACAAACAAACAAAAACTGTAAGAGAGGCCTTTGTGTGACATAGGGTTTGGCAATGAGTTTTTAGACACAATACCAAAGTCGAATCATAACTTGTAAAAGAAAAACTAAGCTGGATTTCTCTAAAATGTAAATGTCTTGTCTCTGAGGGATAGCTTTCACAGTACAAGAAGCCATGGAAGTTTCCAGAGGAGGGAAGTACCCAACAGTCCTATCCAGCTATGACACTTATGAATCACAGCAATGGCCAGCATGGCACCATAACCCTAAGGGTGCAGGAGTAGTCCACATTGCTTGGTGGTAACCAATAGCTCTTTAGGGACTGAAGACTCATTCAAAAGGAAGAAAATGGTGTCTGGTACTGAAAACTACTCAGCACTAGTGAAGTTATAGATATTGGAAGAAAATCTATAACTACAAACTTACTAAACCATCATAATTCTAACAATAATCTAAGCATCTGTCTGTCCTTACACCCATAGATAAGTATAGTCTTCACTGATCATCAAGGAAACGTCTCTCGAACGAGATGGAGACTACAGAAAACTACAACCAATCAAAATGCAGAGCTGTGAAGTGCAGTCCCAGTGGCTACATGCACAAAACATTCCTGCACTTAGGCCTCAGAGAATATTGTATAAGAGAGGATAGAAAGAGAGGCCAGATAATCAGGATGCTAGTTTGCTTCGAGATTCTGTCTCCTAGTAACATCAGAGGCTACACTCATAAAGTCTCACCAACATGACTTCCCAAACATGAGGTGAACAAGGACAGCACCAATGGATGTACTGAAGTGGACAGGAAAAAGCTCACAGGACTCAACCCTACACAAAAGACTATAGGAAACTGAGGAAAGCTAGGGGTGGGAGAGCACAGCTCTCTAGGGATGAGCACAGCAACTGGATGTCCAGTATCAAATGGTCAGCCCTGAAAACATACATACAGGTAGTATAATCTATACTGAATAGGTTATATTTAAGTATATATATGATGTGTGCATGTGTGTATACATACGTACTATATATATATATATATATTATGACATATATATATGAAACCTTATATAGTCCTATATAAACATACACACATGCATGCAGTAACAGTTAAAAAGGAGGTCATAAACTTGAGGGTGAATGGAGAGAATACCTGGGAAGGTTTGAGGGAGGAGAGGAAAGAGAGAAATGTTCTAAGTATATTATAATCTCAAAAATTAAATAAAACAACATCCCTGGCAAAGAGCTAGTGTCAAACACCACAGAGGAGCCCAAAGAAAGAGGGCTGGTTGGTATACTGTTTTATCCAGCTACTATAACAAACTGCCACAGACTTCATGGCTCTCAGTAACAAAAATGTACTCTCCCTCAGCTCAGGGTATCAGAAGTACACAACCGGCCTCACTGCCGTCTGGGAGGGTGACTTCCAGAAGCTCTGAAGTCCCTCCTTCTGCCTTCTGGCCACAGGGACAACTGAAGCACATCACCACAGCGGTTCTGTCTCCATCTCATTACTCCTGTTTTTCTCTCTTTGCCTCTACAATAAGATCACTTTCCACGGTACCTGGGGCTTGAGACATCCGTTATCATTATCTCAAGACCATCAACTTGGTGCCAGAGAGATGGCTCATCAGTTAAAAGCACTGGCTATTCTTCCAGAGGACCAGGGTTCTATTCCCAGCATGGTGGTTCACAGCCATCTACACTTCCAGGCCTAGGAAATCCAATGCTATCTTCTGGCCTGTACAAGATAGACACATATGGGATACACATACACAATGCAAGCAAAACACCCATACACGTAATAAATAATTTGTAAAATTCTCTCATCTCAATCATATCCAGAACCTCATGTCCCAGTGAGGCCCCACTCACTCATTGTTCAGGGAATGCAAGCACAGATACATCTGCCTCAACAACCAGCACAGGAAAGGGTTAGCCTAAGGAGAAATGGTATATCATCTCACAGGGAGGTTTAAGGGGCCTGAGATCCCCTGGCTGGCTTCAGCATCTAGGTAAGGTTTAGAGGAGTTCTCATATCTCATGAAGAATCATGGGAAATTTCACTAATTATATCAGACAGATGCTGGGTTCTTAAGGTGACACCAGCATATGGTTAACAGAAGGGCTGAAAGGAGACAAGGATCATTAAAGAATGGTCAGCCAGGCATTCCAGCTCAGAGAGACACTATGGCAGAAGCTGCCTGATGGGCTATGTCTCCCAAAACAATCTGTGGGCTTAGCTTCTGCCTGGGAGGAACCAGAATACCTCAGACTTAAAAACAAGCATAGCCATGTATGTGTTCAGATCAAGAGTCTTAGTCAGCCTAAGTTTCTTGTTTCACACGGTACAGGGACACTTTGCCTTCTCCTCTAAGTTGAGACTTGATTTCTACATCAAAATAGCAATAAACCACAAGGAATGCATGGGATACATTTTTCTCAGGACATGGATGTATTTACCAAAACTTCACAGCCATAAACAAGATGCCTAGCTAAAGTCGAGTCTCCTATGAAGACCTGAGCCCAAAAGTCTCATCCTTGAACCAAACACAGAACAATTAGCCATACCTCAGAGGCAGCCCTGCATTTTCCCCAAAACCCCAGATAGTAGAGACCTATTGTGCTTTGTGAAGGCGGCTGGGTCAGGTCAGCTGTCAAGGAATACAAACTTGTGTACACACACCTGCCCTGCTTCCACTCACTTTTCTTTCCTGCTCTCCCTTCTTCCTCCCCCCATTCCCTCATCTCTAGCAGCAAGTGAGGGCCAAGGCCAAAGGTCAAGGCTAGGGCACGTGTATAGCTCAGATGCATCGTAATGACCTTACCCCCACTTAAAAGGCTAAAAGGTTTCTGCCCAGGGTCTTACAGTGGGTGTGCTAGTGCGTAAAGATTCTGCCAGTTTATACCGGTAGGGCTCAGCCTCTGATCTCAAGGAATTTTTCTTTCCAGAATGCTTTTGTGAACACATAATTCCAACCAGTATCCACTTTGGTCTCTTCCAGGACTTCCAAAGTGATCACTGAGTTGCTTCCTCTGTCTCGTCCAGCAGAGGGCAGCAGCTCCCTAATGAAGAAAGTACCTGCAGCCAGCTTTGTGCCTAGAGAAGCTCCTCCAAGAAGGACTGGTACTTCCTTTTCATACACACACACACACACACACACACACACACACACACCCACACACCATACATATATCATACATACACACACATGTATGTACTTATGTATGTTTGTATGAACATATGAACATGTATGTATGGGCTGGGACCCATAAATGATTGCCACCTCTCTGAAACTCAGTAACAAATATCTCATTGAGGTCACAAATAAGACTTGCGTAGAATTTTGGTTTACTTTCCGGAGCCCTCCCAACTCCCTACACTCAAGGTTAGGAACTGTCCCCCTAACTCTTGGTGATGAAGAAACTAGATAAGCTAGAAAGGGACAGGTGGCACAACTTATGAGTCAGCAAACACCTGTGTGGTGGAGTACACCTGCAATGCCAGCATTCGAAAGGCAAAGGCAGGTAGGATCAGGAGTTCAGTGTCACCCTGGACTACACAGACAGTCCAAGGTCAGAATGGCCCACATGAGTCTCTAACAAATGAAAGGAGGGGGAGAGGAAAAAGAGAATGCGGGACAGGTGAGACTTCCAGTTTGGTGGCACAGCTTCCGTTCCTGACTGTGCTAGGCTCCAGGCCTTGGCCACTAGGGTGACACCTATAATCATCTGGCTCCTGCATGGGGAGCTAGGGTGCTGCTCTGGCTGGCCAGACACACTCGGGTAAGTCCCAGGCACCACTGTCAAGTTCAAGACCAAGCTCTTGGGCACCCACTGTGTTAGTTCTAAGGGCTCAGAGGACAGGACATGGGCCTGTTGACAAACACGTTCTTGCATATCTGTCCCTTCTTCGTTATTTTTTACTGAAGGGCAGGAGCCTCGGCTGTAATGAGTCACTAGGCTTGGTGTGGGTTCTGATCCTCATGGTGGCCTGTTTCTAAAGGTGACTCATGGGGTAGTTGGCAGGTGCTAATATGAAAGGGCTGCCCTAAAAAGGATTCCCACAGAGCAAGCAATCAGAGCTGAGGCAGGAGAGAGGAGCCTGTGCACTGGGGCTCTCCTCAGAGAAGCCCTCACTCCCCAGATCACATCAATCAAGTTGACATTTCCTCCCACAAGAAGATGAGACAACTTGCATTGTTAAGGAGCTGTGATGTACAAAGAGCTTTCCCCAACATACAGAATTCCTCAGTTACTAAGATAAATGAGGAAAGATTTGACATTTATTGTGCATAATTTAAGTTCAAATAGGTTCCCAGTGAAGAAAAATTGCAAGTTGCTGAGCTGGGTCTGTGCCTCCAGTTCCATGCCTTCTGTCACCATTCCGGCTCTGCACTGCTCTTGAGCTGCCTTGATTTTATAATTTAGAGAACAGAGCCATATTGTGGAATACTGGGAAGCTGTATTTCTATTCTTGAAATGAAGTTATCCCCATCTGTGAATTATTTCTTTTTCAGAAAGACACACATAAAATGAGCAAGTGGTTTTTCTTTTCTCTCACTTTAAAATATGATTCAAAAACATCAAATAGCTGGCAATGTTTTTTTTTAAAAAAAAAAAGAAAGAAAGAAAGAAAGAAAGAAAGAAAGAAAGAAAGAAAAGAAATGCTAGATATCTATCAATTTAGAGAGGGAAAGTACCCCCAAGCTTCGAGGCCAGCCTCTGAAACCTTCTGTGTATGGATGTGATGAAGTGTGTACTCTGCTCCTAATTAAAAGCCTGCTATGTTACTGTAAACTGCGGAACAGAGAAGTGCATGCCTGATACTCATGTGTCAGCTCAGGATGGACAAAGCAAGCTGCACCCCACTATGTCAGCACAGACAGCAGGCCTCAGCCCTTTGCTGCTACTTTTGCCTTCCCCTCAGACATGGGAGGAACAGCACCAAGGAAGCCAGAGGGCAGCAGAAGGAGCAGATGCACTCTCATAGGTAAATGCCATGGCCTTGGGAATTCCTGAACTAATAATACAGGTAAGTGGTAAGGCCAGTGCTTTTTCCTGACATTAGGACTTGTGGATCCTGAAAGTTAAGAACTTTGTGCTGAGTCTTTATCTAGAGAGGATGGTATGGTCTAGGTACGGGAAGAGCTTACCAGTAAGTGCCTGATTCATACTCCAAGCCTTCAGTGGCCTCTGACTTGCCAATGACATACATCTACCAGACCCAATGGATACATATTAGGTAATACATCTGCTTCTGATACCTTGGGTGACACCCTAGAAATTCTAGAAGTGTCAGTAGAATCTGGCCAAAAGCAAACTCAAGGATTCCAGGCAAGGAAGCTAGCAACTGAACTAGCAACTCCAGCAAGGATATAACTGTCCCAGGACCCCTGCCCCTCAGTCCCCAGGGCTCCTCTATGCTCACCTGCCCTCTCTCCTAGGTTCCTTTCCAGCCCCAATGAACCCCAAAGCCTGGATCAGGATGGGAGCTTAGACTGAAGTTAGTGCTGGTATAGAGCTACACGAGTCAAGCAAGTTTCTACAACCCAACCTGGAGTTAGGCCGCGACTGTCAGCACTACTCGGAGGGAGTCTCATCTGAATGACACCTACTTTACTCCCGCACCAAAGCCACTGAACTTTCCTTGTCTAAGGTTAGATAGCACACACTACCTCTATTCCCTCACCCCTTTCTCAACCCCTATCACCCATCAAGATCACAGATGCTACCCAATAGCCTCAGCACCCACCTTACTGGCTAAAGCCCAGAACCCCACCCCATGGACTTCCTCTTGTCAACCTGCTTACATAGTAGACAGAGATGGTTCAAGGATAACCTGCTCCTTCCTGATGGACTCTGAGCTCCTGAGCAAAAAGACTAGATCCGTCTCACTCAACAGACAATATTTGTTTCATTAGTTACTAACAGTTGCCATGGAGACCTTACGATCACAGAAGGCAGGGGCTAGAGCACAGTAGCTTAAGGCCTTTAAGAAATCACCCACAAGGATTCTCTGTATAAGGACAGAACCACATCCTTAGAGAGGACAATAAAGGCAAGAAAAGTGGGGATAGAGTGGAGGTGGAGAACAAAGGCAGGTACTATCCTACTCCATATCAGAGTAAGCAAAAGAAAATGATGAGGCTAGAGATGGCTCATGGATAAGAGCACTTGCTGCTCTTCCATAGGACCCTAGTTTGGTTCTGAGCACCTATGTCAGGCAGCTCCCAACTGCCTATAATGCCAATACTAGAGGATCCAACACCCTCTTCTGGCCTGGGCATAGATGTGCATAAATTTTAAAAAGTTAAATTTGGCCTATGCTGGCTCATTTCATGTCAACTTGACACAGTGTAGAGTCATCTGAGAGGAGGGTACCTCAATGGAGAAAATGCTTCCATCAGATCTAGCTGAGGGTAAACCTATTAGTGATTGATGGAGAAGGGTCTAGACTATTATGGGTGGAGCCACCTCTGGCCTGGTGGTCTTGGGTTCTATAAGAAAGCAGGCTGAGCAATCCACGAGGAGCAAGCAGGTAAGCAACACACTTCCATGACCTGCATCAGCTCCTGCTTCCAGGATCCTGCCCTGCTTGAGTTCCTGTCATGACTTCCTTCAATGATGGACTATAATGTGGAAGTGTAAGTCAAATACACTGCCTGTCACTAATTATTAGGGCAGTTACTTACAGTTCTGTCCATTCAGTCTGTCATTCTTCATAGAGAAGCATCCCAATGTACACAGACACACATCTGTGGGAGCTGTTTTAATCATATATATATATATATACACATACATATGCACACACACACAATTAGGCAGAAAGGAGTATTTAGCAACCTTGGCATTACCTGAGATACCCATACCTACATGGAGTCTGAATAAACTTAGGTTAGACCTCAGTTCTGCAAGCAGTCTCAGAATGCTTCTTCCCAGGCTTGGAAACCCTTCCTCAAGCTCCTCCCAGAACTACGCATATGTCTTAACTCTCCTGATGCTCTGGAGTGTCACCAAGGTTACACTCCCCTACCCACACTACCCCATATGTCTCTTATCTTTCTCCATTATACTCACACATGCAGACACCTGCAGCTCATTTTATGCTCCTACTTAACTTGGGGACAGTTCTTTCAGAAACAACCCTGGGTGCCATTGTTGATGGAAGGCACTATTACATTATGACTTTTCCCAACTCTTGGCCACAGCCAGCCCTCTCATCAGAGCTCACCCCCTGAAAACAGCTTCCTCCTCTGTCCCCCATCACCAGGCCTCCACTACTATAACTAGCCTTTCCTGGCCACTCTGTTCTCCCCACAGCTTCTTGCTGCCCTTAAACACATAAGCAAGCTAGGTGTGCTCCATGCTGGTGTAAACCCAGCACCAACAAGGTGGAAGCAGACGTATTTCAATTTAGAGATCAGCCTCAGGTTACATGACAAGACCCTAATCAAAGTGTGTGCAATTGAATTAAAAATAAATTAAAACATTGAAAAGGTCAGGGTGGGCCTGAGTGTGCACTGGCTGTCCCCACTTCTAACAGCCGCCCAAGACTTCGGCATGAGACTCTTATTTCCTCCAATTGCTCTCCATAAGATAGCAACTGCTCCAATCTCCTTCCCCTGCTTCTGGGTTGTATTTAACTCTACGCCACTTGACTTTCCCCAGGTTTTTCTTATTGTCTCTTCTCCTCTGAAGAGTAAGCTCCACAAGGACAGACGCAACATCTCTACACAAGCAGCATCCCAGCTAAGACAGAGAACAGAAAAGGCACTTGCTAAAAGGCAATTGTCAAATGAACAGCATTTGTCAAGTGAAGAATGCTCTGGTTTGGAACAACTGCCCTCTAGTGGTGCAATACGCTCACTGCCAACTTCATAGTGATTTCGGATACGTCAAACCCACGAACGAATAATTCCTCTTCATGCTAAAAAAACATACCCACAAATAAAGCAAATATCGACAACGGTTCCCTAGGGCTATACTGAGAGCTCAACGAACCTCTGAAGTACCACTCTGATGAGATTGGTGCTCATAAGTTACGGGTCAAAGATACTGGAGGCAAGCAAGCCTGGATGATGGGCAAGATTACGCTCGCAGGTGCTGGGTTCCGGGTGCTCCGGGGTTCAGAGGCCCCGCCTGCCCACGGCCGAGCGCTCTCTATTGGCAGATCCACAGAGGTTCCGCGTTCCCGTTGGCTCAGCTGGAGGAAGAGTCCAGGACTTCGAGCATCCAGTCCAGCCGCCCGCAGAAGAAAATCTGAGGCCTTAAGAACGCAGAGGGCGTCGCGTCCTAGCCCTTACACGATTCGAGAAGGCCGCCTATATCTCTGCTGGCAGACTATTCAAAGATACTCTTTCCACGGACGGCAGCGGCTACGTAGGTCCAACCTCGAAACAGCTCGCGCAGACTCAGTCGGAGCACGGTGCGCCCCCGGCAGCCCCCGCGGCACTGACCGTCGGAGGAGGCGGAGGGGAATGACGTCATCCGGCGGGGCGACGGACATTG